GAGCGTTTCGCCTCCGTCATCATACCTACAAATTAAGCAAGTTAGAACCTTTTTTCAGCCAATGACAAGCTTACCCAACATATAAGTTATACTCACACAGCCTTCAGTCTGTCTTTGTAGGTCTCTCTCTTGACAGGAGTCAACTTCGGAAGTGTATCAAGTACCCACGAAACAGCAAACCTGCAAGATTGAAGGGACAGCTTAGCTTTAAAACCTCTTCCCAAAAACCACGAAGACATCAGCCAATGAAACCGTTCGCACCATATCTCACAGATGACAGACATCAGCCAGAGCCAATATCCTGTCTCTGTGGGGTTGGCAACCCGATACTGAAGGAATCCAAGGATTGAACAAAGACGAATGAAAAGAACAATCCTGCATAATAAAACACTTTCATCTGTCAGAGGACGACGAAAAAGAGGGAAACGGAAAGAAACAATTTCGTTTGCAGTATGTACAGACCTGTAAGGGCCAATTATGCTTCCAGGATAGCTCAACTTTCTTGCCAAGCTCTTCTTCTTCCAGTCAGCTCTGGAAAGGGTATATCACGATTAAGGCATATCTTCTGTAAGTTTAGCATCAAACGCTAGCATACGCCACTTACATCGGAACAGCTCGATCAGGTGCCTTTGTTGGTGGCTGCTCCCAAGCAACACTGCCATATCCATATTGAGGCTGACTGGTCTGAACGATGCTGTTATCTTGGTAAAGAGGCACCAGATTTTTTTCTCCCTGAACCTGCAGACGTAAGAAAGGGTTTCGGCTATCTTTCTTTCAAAGGAATAAGCAGCAAAACTTTTGCCCATACGTACCTGAGGCCCCGATTGTTCAATCTCATTAATGCTTTGCAGCTGCTTTGATGCTGTTCTTGCAAGCCTCGACGGAGAGGAAGTGCCATCAGCCCGAGGTGTTTCATTGAGCATGGCTTGCATTATCACCCCTGAAAAAAAGGGACACGGTATTTAAAATGTCTCAAAATGCTTCACGTGCGAAACACAACGTGGCATAGCTGCTGCATACATTGCTCTCGGCTTCGAAGATCTCCTCCACAACCCGGGCAGCGGTTTCTTTCATACTTGTGCACATGATCCAAACAGATGGTGCACATCCTGAAGGAACACTCGCATGGTGTGTACTCTTCATCCGCTGGCACGGCATCACCACACATGTTGCAGACAGCTTGCTTGATCTGAGGGCCTGCGTTCTGAAATACTTGTTAGTGCGAAGCTCCTGAGATAAAACGGACAGCTTAGCTTACCATCAACCGTGTAACACTTCGAATGCCATTTAAATTCTTGTCTCCATGAGCTAAGGAGCAGAGCAATCCCTGCGTGTGGGTACCCACTGCACTGTTGCTCCTTTCCTGCATGAAGTGTCATTAGCGTCTGTGATCACACAAAACGTGTAGACTTTGCACAGTAACTTACCACTTTAATACGTGCCAACCCGAGTTTCTCTTCAGGGAACACTGATGCCGCTCTTGCCTCCTTTTCCTGCCAATCATCTTAAAATAAGCATTGACGAAACAAAAAGCTAGTACTAATAAGAATACTCACCGCATCGCGGCTTATCGCCAATGACCCTCCCCTTGATCGGCTTAAGGATGTCCTGATAGAGCTTTCCGGGAGCGTTCCTGATAGTTCGCATACTGACGTCAAGCTTTGACGTAAAGTTGACTTTGTTAAGACTGCACGAGACTTACCGGTAAGGCCACCCAAGAAAGATCCACTTCCATACTTCCGAATCCCAGCAGGAGAAGCATCTGGTTCCTGAACATGGTATGCTCCAACAGCCACTGACTGACTCCGTTTCAAGTCATTGTCGGCGTGTTGCCTGTCAAAGAGCACACACGTGTCAGATGACTAAGAGCAAAAAGTGTGACGTAATGGATACTGGTGCTAGAAGGCTCACACAGGTGGAGGATGCTCAGATACGGAGGCTCCTGAGAATGTTCCTTGTTCCTGAGAAAGACTAACGTAAGGCAGGAGTTCACAAATCCAAAAAAGGCAAAAGGCATTGCTGATGGCTGAATACCTGTCTATCGGTTGTGCTACTAAGCCGGTTACGCATTCCATGGTCGCTAGGTCTCCTGGCCGGAACGACGACGACATCAGGTGACTCCTCCATCCTTGGAGACTCCTAGGATCGGACACAGGAATTCATTCGTACAAGCCTTTTTGGTGATGATTGTGAACAGAAACCAGAGCGCAATAGCGGTGCCAGCATCAATGTTGCTCCATTCGCTCTGTCAGCTGAAGGCCTTGTTCAGCAACACGCGAGGCGCATTCGCGATGCGGTTGGGTTTGGTTCGGTTCAATTGCGATGCATAATACGAAAACATAACCAGTACTACACGCAGATCAGTTGTAATAAAGGAACACAGAACCTCGACATAAGCAATTCTGCCACGTCATTGCCTCGAATTGACGTGGCCAATCCGAGCCACTAATTTGTCCCCCACGTAATTTCGTCATCCAAAATGGAACTCCCTGAGTCCTCCCAACCACACTCCACTCCACCCAAGCCGGGCGTACACAGTTGACCAGCTAGCTGTCCCACTTGAAAACAGGTTTCCTTCCACCTCTTGCTCCCATCAAGATTAGCACTAATCAATTAGGTGGCGATTACCACGGTGAAGGCAAGAGTCTGTCTCCTCTGTCAATAGTGGCGTAGCGGCGCTGACTTCACTGTCGTTTCTTACCTCTCACCATCAGCGTGCAAGTTCACCACGACTATGCCTCGTCCAGCACCCTCGCCGTTTGAGAGGAAGCCACGAACTGCAGAGGAGGAGAACCCGCTTGCTGGGCTTGGCGTTCGCGCTTCCGCATCGCCAAAGGTATCTTCGCGTGCTTATCCCTCCTTCCATGCACACGGCATCCTTTTTCATGTAGCTGTACTTTATGTTCTCTCAAGAAAGTTAGCAGCTTACATTACCTGTTTATCTCTGCGTAGGCTAAAGGGTCACCAGTTTCATCATGAGGTAGCTTTAAACGACATGCTCGTGCCTGGATTCCATTCAGGTCAGAATTCTTGTCGTTCTCATGTGCAACGGATCGCTACCTACGTGCGCGTTTTTTCGATTGCAACACTGTGTTGAGCAGTCAGGAGCTGTCATGGCACCATCCTCCGGTGCTCTGTCAAGAAGACGAGCATCGCCTAATCAAAACAACGCTATGTTCGAGTTCGACCCAGAGCTCGTTGCTGCTTTTCAACGCAACATGATGGTACGTAATCTCTGTATTCATAAGTGGACTTGCGACTTTGTTTCTATGTGACTGGGATGCAATCACGAGTCAGGTGCAGTGGCGCTTTTTGTTCCAGTTCACCTTTTTAGTATAATTATTGACCACCAATAATGGAGGAATAACAAGGTCAAGGAACACGCGCGCGCGCGCGCACACACGCACACAGGCACGCGCGCGCACGCACACACGCACACGCGCGCGACACACACAGGCACACAGACACACAGACACACAGACACGCTGACACGCAGACACACACACACACACACACACACACACACACACACACACACACACACACACACACATACACACATACACACACACACACACACACACACACACACACACACACGCACACACACACATACAGAACACACACGCACACCACATACACACACACACGCACCACACACACACACAACACACACCACATACACACAGACACACACACACACACACCACAAACCACACACCACACACCACACACACACGCTTATTCACTAACTCAGTCTCTCACTCCCCCCCCACCACCACAAATACACACACACACACACACACACACACACACACACACACACACACACACACACACACGCACACACACATTTTGTTACTTACGCATATAATCGAGTTTCCTCTTCCCTCTGTACCACGCCCATCATCCCCCTCCACAATCCCCCTACTTCCTGCGTCTTGTCCTTTGCCACCCCCTCCCACTCTCTCCGCCACCACCTCCCACGCCTTCGCGCCTCCCCTTCTTGTACAAACGTTCCCAAAATACTTACCTGTATCGATTTCTGTAGATGTTCTTCTAGCCTCTGATTTCTTAAAGTTTCACATTCTCATTTCTTAGTCGCCCCTTCAACTTCTTACTGTCCCTGGTTTCTCCAATTTCCGCTGTTTGCCATCTTGGATATGAACGCTATGCAGTTCTTTCGTCGTGTGTTCAGCCTAGACACCTTCCTCAGGCCCTTGCCAGCGCCAGTGGCACAGTCCATTGCACGAAGCTTCGGTTTCTTCACAAGCATCTTCACACAGTTTGTTGGTAAGTGGATGTTTCTGGGTTTATTGTTCTTAGTGGTAGATCTTAGTGTTTTTTTTTATTTTTTTTGCCATACAACTCAGCAAGCTCAATGTTGCCGAATACTTCACCTGCTGCTGTGTCTGTCTTTTCAGTTGTTGTTTTCATGCCGTATTTGCCCCTTCGTGTTGCAGATCCGAAGGGCATTAAGAATGCACAAAAAGCAATGGGCATTCGGAAGGATGACTCCAGGATTGTTCGACGGAAAGAGTAACATCGTTTTTTTTTTCCTTACCGCAGTACTAAGGGTCTGGCCTAGGTAATCTGAATGCTGGTTCCCTTATTTGTTTCCTTTTGCCCTTATCTCCAGCCTAAAGTTACAGAGGAAAGGTCATTGTAACCATACATTTAGTGAAGCCAATAATGCTACAATATCATATTGAGCACACAAAAGGGCTCAATACTACTTGAAAGTATGTCAGCCACACGCCCTATTCTGGTTTGTAGGGCCAGGACCCTTTCACAACCCCCTGGCTGTCTGGTCTGACAACCAAACCGCAGGCATGACAGTGGAAGAAAGTGCAGTCAGAGGAAAAGAATCTTGGCATTTCTACACCTTGAATAGTGCCAACTTGAGGCCATCCAAATGATCCCACAGCACTGCACTTTCCATTCCAATCCTTGGCTGTCCACTTTAATCAAACCACGGGCATGTGAAGGAGGCAGCGCAGTCACAGGAACATGATCTTGGCACTCAGTTCTCTCGCCAGTGCCAGTTTGAGGCCATTCAAATGATCCCACAGCGATGCCTGCCCCATGCCTCCTTGGATGTCCGTGTCAGGCAAGGCACCGGTGGTGAGAGTGGGAGCATTCTTGAAACCAGAGCGTTGTTGTGAGAGTGAGTCTGGGGAGAGTTGCTGCAAGCAGCTGATGAGCGCTGAGATGTGCGCTTCTTTGAAGGGCAGGGAGCGTGTCTGAAGCACATGAGCCTGCCCGTGGGATGGGATGGGATGGGATGGGAAGGGGAGATAGCAGGAGAGGGGATGAGAAGGGGGCTGCAAGCAGCTGATCAGCGCAGACACGTGATGGAAGCAGGTGCTTCTTTGAACGGTAGAGACCGTTTCTGAAGGACATGAGCCTGCCAGTGGGATGGGTTGGGATGGGGAAAGCGAAAATAAGTTGAAGTTACTTGGAAGGGCCCGATGTATGCAAGCCACGGATAAGGGCCGAGATGTGGGCTTCTTTGTATGGCAGGGAGCGTGTCTGAAGGACATGAGCCTGCCAGTGGGATGGGATGGGAAGGGAGGGGGGCAGCATGTGGAATTCTCAGGCAGTTGGAAGGACCGGATAGAGGCAGTGATAATTATACAGGTAACTGAGATGTATGGGAAGATACATCAAGAGGTACACATGTATTCGACTCAAGAGCTCTTAATATAGGGGTTTCTGAATAAGCAGATGCGATGTCACATTGGCTAAGGCAGTGGCGACCTAACCAGGACAGGACAGAATGCCATCTACCCTGGCATAGCACAGCATACCTGGCACCTGGCAGGGTAGATGGCATAGCATCTGATACTACCTAAAGCAGCATCTGATACTACCTAAAGCAGCTGACATTGACATTGCACACCATGAGATGAGAGAGCGCGAGGAAGACACGAGGGTAGTGCGACGATGTGTGGAGCAAGGCCTGTGTGTGGCAGAGGGATTTATGGGCAGATGGACTCATGGGGTTGGAACAAGAAGACAGGCAAGGGGGAAAGCTTACAGCCATAGTGTTATTTCACAAGCAATTCCGTTAAACAGACACTGCAACAGTGGGAACGATAGGGATCACTGCTAAAATTCTTGATGCTGGGATGTGTTCTTTACACCTGATGCTTGATTCAGTCACTGACCTGCACTAGCCGGTCTGCCAGGTGGCTTCTTTGGATTGGCTCAGGAGTAGAAGCGGCGGCAGGAAAGAAGGGTGACGCTGGGATGTTTGATCCGCCTGTAAGCTCTTTAACCAGCTCCCACACGCTGCGAGGAAGGGAGAGGAAAGGACAGAACAGGTGGGCGGTTGTGCATGGGTAAGTTGGGTTGGAGGTGAAGGGGATGGGAGGAATCGCGGGGTTGTCAGGTGCACCTGTGAGCTCTTTGACCAGCTCCCATGCGCGGCAAGACAGGGACAGGAGACACGGGTGATTGCGCATGCGTAAGTTAGGCTGGGTAAGAAATGGTGGCCTTGCCGGGTGCCCTCATGCGCTCTTTGACCAGCTCCCAAACGCTGTGAGGAAGGGAGGGGGAGGTGGGTGATTGCCCATTGGTATGTTACACGGTTGGGCAAAGGAGAGATGGGGGAAAGGGACGAAAGATGATTTGTTTGGTGCACCTGTGAGCTCTAGCTCCCATGCGCTACAAGGAAGGGACAGGAGCACTGGGTTCCCATGGTTAGGGTACGGCTCAAGAATGGTGGAGACGCGGGGGAGGGGAGGAAGAAATGGCGTTGTCCGGTGCTACCTAAGCTTTCTTACCAGCTTCCATGAGCAGTGAGGAAGGGAGGGGAGATGTTGACACAAGAAAAGATGCGCACAAGTATTTACAGAATCTGGAGCTGGTGGGAGAAGACATCAATGATCAAGGTGATAATAAGTTGTTTTTGAGACGTCTCGAAAAGATGCTCACACGTATATACAGAATCTGGAGCTGGTGGGGGGATACATCAAGCGCACACGAAGATATGTAACGACAGGCCATGACATACATTATAAGAGATTATCACAAGTCACACACATTAGCACTCAGTCACAAACGGCAGGTACCACTCACGAGAGCACGTATTCAAGAGCCGAGTGACTCTGTCCGGTTGACCCACTGCTGTTCCTCAGAGCATCCAACGCTGCTGCTGCTCTTCACACTACAAGGCAGGTACCATTCATGAGAGCACAGAGCACTCACGAGAGCACGTATTCAAGAGCCGAGTGACTCTGTCCCGTCGACCCACTGCTGTTCCTTAATGCATCCAGCGCTGCTGCTGCTCTTCACACTACAAGGCAGGTACCATTCATGAGAGCACAGAGCACTCACGAGAGCACGTATTCAAGAGCCGAGTGACTCTGTCCCGTCGACCCACTGCTGTTCCTTAATGCATCCAGCGCTGCTGCTGCTCTAGCTGCATCTGCTGTTGCTCCCTGTGTGGCACCTGAACCTGAACCAGGTGCGCCCTGCACCAGATGCAGCCTCCCCCTGACGGCCGGCACCAGCAGCTCGTCCGCGAGGAAAAGGACAAGCGCGTCCATAGGCGCTGCTGCTGGCGGGCCGGCCGCCGCCATCCAATAGACGCTCGCCACGTGGCGCGATGTGGCGAGGCTGCGAGAGTCCCAACATGCCATGGCGGCAGACTGGAGGGGGAGGGGGAAAGTGGGGAGCGAGGGGAAGGGGGGACGGAGGGAGTGGTGGGGAAGGGAACGGGGGAGGTGAGAGAGAAGGGTTTGATCAAGAGGATCCGAAGTTCAGAGTCCCAACATGCCATGGCGGCAGACTGGAGGGGGGGAGCGGGGAAGGGGGAGGGGGAGGGGGATGGGGAGGGGGAGGGGGAGGGGGCGGGGGAGGGGGAGGGGGGAAGGAGGGAGAACGTTGGAGGTGAGATGGGTGATTAGCCAGGAGCCGAAGAGCCATGCTTCTAGAGTTCCAACATGCCATGGCAGCAGACTGGAAGAGGGGAGGGGGAAGGGGAGGAGACGAGGGAGAAGGGAAAGGGGAAGAGGGGGAGGGGGGAGAACGGGGGAGAGAGGGGAAAAGGGGAAGCCGGGAGAACAGGGGAGGAGAGAAGAGGGTTTTGGCAATGCTGGTGTGCGTGGTGGGTGTGACTGGCTGGGACAGCAGCACTTGCTGTATGAAAGGCTTTCCGCACTCACTCGTGAGAAGAAGGCAACACCAGAGGAGTAGCAGGTAGGCGGAGAATGAGACAGGCAGAAATCTTGCTTACCCGGGACAAGAAGGCAGCAGCAGAGGAGTAGCAGGCCGGGGCGTATGAATCGACGAGAAATAGGGTTTTGGCGATGCTGGTGTGCGTGGTGGGTGTGACTGGCTGGCACAACAGAGCTTGCTCTATGAAGGGTTCTCCTGGTGGGCATGGGGCGAGGTATGGGAGGGCGAGCTGGGGAGAGGGAGTGGGGGGGGAGAGTCGGAGAGGAGGAGAGGAAGAGAGGGACACGGAAGTTATAGAGGGATGTGCATTGAGACTGGCTGTGCCAGCAGCACTTGCTCGGTGAAGGGCTCTCCTGGTGGGCATGGGGCGAGGTATGGGAGGGCGAGCTGGGGAGAAGGAGTGGGGAAGAGAGAGGGGAAGCAGGTACGCGTTTCGCATTGAGACAGGTTGGGAGAGGGGGAGGTGAGAGGGTGGGTATGGGGCGAGGTATGGGATGGCGAGCTGGGGGAGAGAAGGTGAGAAAGAGAGAGCGGAGAGGAGAGGAGAAGGGAAGGTATACTACAACACTTGCTGTTTCTGTAAATGTGGTGGGAGGGGAAGAGTGGGAACCCAGAGCCTTGTACGGAAACAGGGAACCATCAAATATCTACGTTCATGTGTGTGATTAGAACTCTGTTGAGTATACACAGAGGAGGTGAGGTGTATGATTATTTGACTCAGAAATCACCTCCAAAGCCTTGTATGGAAACAGGGAGCCATAATGTAGCTACGCTCATGTGTTTGTGTGACCAGGGCAGTAATTGATATGCATAGAGGAGAATGACTGAAGGATCAATGACTAAGATTTCATCTGCCACGTGGCAGGATCTAATAGGAGGGCTCACCTACCACGTGGCAGCATTTGATAGGAGGTCTCACCTGCCACATGGCAGCCTCTGATAGGAGGTCTCACCTGCCACGTGGCAGCATCTGATGGAAGCTCTCACCTGCCACATGGCAGCATCTGATAGGAGCTCTCACCTGCCACGTGGCAGCATCTGATAGGAGCTCTCACCTGCCACGTGGCAGCATCTGATAGGAGCTCTCACCTGCCACGTGGCAGCATCTGATAGGAGCTCTCACCTGCCACGTGGCAGCATCTGATAGGAGCTCTCACCTGCCACGTGGCAGCATCTGATAGGAGGTCCATGGCATAGTTCACCCGGCAGAGATCCAGAACAGACAGGCCGCTGATGTCAGCACCGTCTGCTGCGGACGGCTCCCGGACGGCAGAGGCAGCATTTCGGGCGGCAGCAGCGGCGGCTTGTTTGGCAGGTAGTGCGGAGAGGGACGGTGAGGGAAGTGAGAGAAGCTCAATCACTTGTACTAGGAACCTGACAGGGGATGAGAGGGTGGGAGAGAGGGTGGGGAGGGATGTGGAGGGATGGGGAGGGATGGGAAGGGACAGGGAGGGACGAGGAGAGATGGGGGAGGAGAGGAGCGTCAGGCAAGCTTGCAACGCAAGTTTCTTCCCTAAAGGCGGTGCGTAATACTGTGCCGTTAGAACTTGCGAATCTCGATTCAAAGTAAATAAAAATCAAAAGAGAGAGAAGCTAGATTGCTTGCACTAGGAACCTGAACGGGGGGATGCTGTGGGTGAGAGGACATGGAGGAGTAGGGGAGATGAAAGGTGGAAGCAAGAGATAACTGTGGAGACAATCAGGAAAGAGGCAATCAGGAGCGGAGAAGGGTCGCAGTAGGAGGGGGCAGGGCAATACGATGAAGTAACTAGTGGAAACGCAGGGGTGTTGGGGGTGGGGGGAAAAGGGGGAGGGCAAGGGGGGGAGCATAACGGAAGATAATATCAGGAAGGGGATTGAGGGGGCAAGGAGAATGGAAAGGGAAGGCAGAGGGAAGAGGGCGCACCAGGAGGGGAGGAGTCGAGATGCTATGGAAACCACAACCTGCCATGTGAATGCCCATGCCGTGCCATGACATCCCATGCCATTCCATGCCATGACATGACATACCATCCATGGCATCCCATCCCAACCCATCCCATCCCATCCCATCCCATCCCATCCCATCCCATCCCATCCCATCCCATCCCATCCCATCCCATCCCATCCCATCCCATCCCATCCCATCCCATCCCATCCCATCCCATCCCATCCCATCCGTCCCATGTCATGTCACTCCATGCCATGCCATGGCATCCCGTGCACAGTCAATGGCCAATGGGAGACAGCAGAAGACGAGGGAGAAACAGGGAAGGTGGGGCAAGACCAGAGGATAGTGGGGTGAGAACCAGCTGAGTCGTGTTTTGAGAGCCAGCCAGCTAAGAACCAGTCGACTCAAAACACAATAGTGGGGTGAGAACCAGCCAGCTAAGGACAGCAAACACACCTTCATGGAAAAGAGCAGCTTCAAGCAAAGACAACAACGGCCCGCTAAAACCTAAAACAAAACCAAGGACTTTTGGGAAGGTATGGCACACATGCTGCTGACGTGGCTGGCAGGTGATAAAAAAATCAAGTACTTTCACCGCAAAGAAATGTATATTCGCGTCCCCCCATTCCCCCACCTCTGTTTCACGGCATAAGGACGCCAGCATGAGGCGATCCAACGATGGCTGGACGAGATCCGAAGCATCCAACGGCTGAGATGCCCCCACGCTCTTCCCACCGCCGCCTACTGCTGCTTCCCGCCAGCATTGCAGTGCGAGCGATGCCTGTGCTGCCGCCGTCTGTTGGCAAGAGGGTGTGGGGAGAAACAAGGGGTGCAGGGGTGAAAGGGATTTGAGTGAGGCCTTGCTCTTGCCTCTTCCCTCTCCTACCTGCTGCTTCCCGCCAGCATTGCAGTGCGAGCGATGCCTGTGCTGCCGCCGTCTGTTGGCAAGGGAACGGGAGAAAGAAGAAGTGCACGGGGAAAGGGAACGGGAGCTAAGGCCTTTCTGTTCCGAGGTGACTTTTGAGTCGACTCAAAAGTCACGGGGAAAGGGACAGGGAGGGGAGCGAAGGCCTTTCTGTTCCCACTGATGCCATTTTGGGTAAGAGGGTGCGGGGGGAAAGGAAGGTGAGTCCTTGCCGAACCCATCTCATCTCAACCCAACCCAACCCAACCCATCTCAACCCAACCCATCCCATCCCATCCCATCCCAAACCAACCCAACCCACCCCAACCTCTCAACACTGCCACTCACCGCTTGCGGGTTCTGGTGCAGCAGCCGCGCCCCCAGCAGCTCCAGCCAATGGGAGCGTGCCACGTCATCAACGGCCCGGGAGCTCCCCAGCAGCAGGTCGAGCAGGGCGAGCAGCGCCCTCTCGGTGGCCGGCGCGTCTGCCGCCGCCCAGAAGGGGCTGGCTTTCAGGCGAGCCAGTCTGTTTCGCCAATGGTCGCGATGCTGACAGGGGTGAGAGGGGTTCGGGGTAAGGAATGGGAGAGGGGCAGGGTTTCCAGCACAGGGCGAGTAGCGCCCTCTCGGTGGCCGGCGCATCTGCCGCCGCCCAGAAGGGGCTCGCCTTGAGCTGAGCCAGTCGGTTCCTCCCTCCAATGGACGCGATGCTGCGAGGGGTGAGAGGGGTTTTGGGAGTAAGAATGGGTGGGTGGGGGGAAAATGCTGGGTTTGAGGATGGAGGCATCGGCTTGTCCCCACATTAAGGAGCAGGAGCAACAAAAGCACTGACAAGAAGATTGGCAAGCCAAGCTGACTTGGCACTCGGCTCACCCTGTGGTATGCCGACACCTCAGCAGCGTCGTGCGCCGCCATTGGCTCAAGCGGCATGGGCATCTCGGCCAGCAGCACTGCCACTGCTTCTACCAGCCCGTTCTCCGCCTCCCTCTGAATAACCTGATCCTCACGGTATGATGAGTGCCAACGCAGTAGGGCCGTCTGGGAGCAGGGGAAGGGGAGGGCGAGGCGGGGGGGGGGAGTGGAAAAGGAGTGAATGGGCAATTCCGCCAGCAGCATCACCACCGGCCTCCACCAACCTGCTCTCGGCTTCTCTTTCAACCACCTCAGCAAATGCATTCTATGGAAAGCCGTGCGAGCACTTGTGAAAATACTGATGAGGCGCCTCAAGAGTTGAAACTACTGACTTCCCTGGCAACCGGATTCAGAAGAAAGGTGTAGCATTTTTTAGTACATAGGGAAAAGGGTTTCAAAGAAGGACAGAAGAAAGGGCAACATACCGCTGTGTCTCTCCAGCCAATCGCAGCGCAGGAAGCCACAGCCGGCCAATAGGGGTCAAGAACCTCTGGAGGTATGGCCTGGTTGGAGATGGGAGATGACAAGAGGGGAGAGGAGGGAGAAGAGAAGAGAGAGGAGGGAGAGGAGGGGGAAACGAGGAGGGAGAGGAAGGGGGTAGAGGAGCGAGAGGAGGAAAAACGGAAAGCATGTCAAGGGATTGAAAACAGCAGCGAAAATTAGACAAGGGTGGGAAGATGGCAGGAAGCGGATGGGAAGAGGGTACTAAACTGGTGGGAAGAGGGAAGGAAGAGGGTACATGAAACCCTACAAAAATCACCCGCTCACCTCTGATTGGCTCATCTGATCCCGCAAGGACCGGAGGCATGCTGACGTGGACGCGTTGCAAGGAGGTAGCGACGAATTGTAGTGCTGTTGGGAGCGGGTTGGGGGGGAAAGTGAGGGGTGTGTGGGGGGGAATGGGGGGGAGGACAGGAAGCGAGGGAGTGCGGAAGCAAATAACAGGGAAGGAAAAGTTGGAATAAGCCTACATCTACTTATAGACTACAATACGCTTTATGATCCTGGTTTTTAGAACAAATCTGCTGCACGAAATGGCAGCGTGGGGTTATGGAAGGTATGTATGGCCGGGTGTGGTCGGCTGGGGTTGTGGGGAGGAGAAGATGGGGTGCGGCGGAGGAAGAAGAAGAATATAGCAACGAGGAGAGATAAAAAGAGAGGAACAACGTCAAATAGAGCAACGAAAAGGGAAAATAGAAGAGAAATGGACAAGGGGAAAATATGACTGCAAGAGAAGAAAAGAAAATGGTGGTTCCAATGCGAACAAAGAAGTTCATGGGGTGGGGGGAGTGTGGGTAGGGAAGGGGGGGGGGGGGGGTGGGTAGGGAAGGGGGGGGTGTGGGTAGGGAACGGGGGGGTGGTCAGAAAGAGAATTGAGGGAAGAGCTAGAATAGCAACAGGCGGCGCAGAAAATGGGGTGTAGAGAAGAGTAGACACATCAGAGCACGTGAGGGAGCAGAGGAAGGGAGGAGAGAGACGAAGGGCTGAGAGGTGGGTGCGGACGCAGCAGCAGAGGGGAAAGAAGAGACGGGAATGAATAAGAGAGATTGGAACTCAAAACAATGGTTCCACTTACAGCAAACCAGGAGACGTAGGGCTGACAGGTGGGGGTAGAAGGAGCAGCAGAGGGAGGAGGCAGGAGGAGTGGGTAGGAGGAGGAGAAAAGAAGAGACGGGAATGAATAAGAAAGACCGGAACTTAAAACAATGGTTCCACTTACAGCAAGCCAGGAGACGTAGGGTTGACAGGTGGGGGAAGAAGGAGCAGCAGTGGGAGGAGGCAGGAGGAGTGGGTAGGAGGAGGAGAAAAGAAGAGACGGGAATGAATAAGAAAGACCGGAACTTAAAACAATGGTTCCACTTACAGCAAGCCAGGAGACGTAGGGTTGACAGGTGGGGGTAGAAGGAGCAGCAGTGGGAGGAGGCAGGAGGAGTGGGTAGGAGGAGGAGAAAAGAAGAGACGGGAATGAATAAGAAAGACCGGAACTTAAAACAATGGTTCCACTTACAGCAAGCCAGGAGACGTAGGGTTGACAGGTGGGGGTAGAAGGAGCAGCAGTGGGAGGAGGCAGGAGGAGTGGGTAGGAGGAGGTGGGAGAGGCACGGAAGCTGTTGCTGCCGACCTCCATCCCCCTCATACCTCCTCCTACTCCTCCTCTTGCTCCCCTGAATGCAGAGTCCACGTCAGCACCGCCACCCATGCGAGTGTCCATGTCAGTGTCCACGTCAGCAGCGCCAGGTGTGTGGTCGGGGAGGAAGCAGAGGCGGAGGAGGTCCCAGACGGCTGCCAGCTCACTTTGGGTGATGCCACGTGGCACAGACTGGTTGGTTGGTTTGTTGGCAGGAGGAACGGGTGGGAGCAGGAAGAAAAAGGGAGTTAGCAGGGCGACAAATAGATTGTTTTTTTGCAATGAAAAAGAGAACGACACGTGAAAGTGAAATGACATGTGGAAGTGAAATGGAATGCGGAGCAACTGAAATGAAGGCCGTTAAAACCCTCACCAACCCCACTCACCCTCTTCTTCATTTCCCCCATCCCATCCACCCAGCCTCTTACCATCCCACGCCCCCTCCCCCCTCCTTTTGCCTCAAACGACCCACCTCGTCCTCCCACACCTCCTCCTCCTCAGCAGCTATCCCAACAAACGGGTCAGCAGCGGGGATCCTGAGAAAGTGTAATTCTTTAAAATGTTTAAGAACTTCTCAGAAACACATGACCACCCACCTCATCCTCCCAATCCTGCTCCTCCCTTTTGTCTATCCCAGCAAACGGGTCAGCGGCGGAGATCCCAAGGGAGTAATTATTAGCATTCTATAAAATCTCTCGAAACAACCTCTCCACACCACACCACCCACCTACCCACCTCGTCTTCCCATTCCTCCTCGGTGTCTAACCCCGCAAACGGGTCAGCGGCGGAGATCCCAAGGGAGTGGGGGGAGGCGCGCGCAGCTGCCAGCGTGGACTGGGCGGACGGCGGCGAGAGGAGCCTGCTGACGTGGCGAGACCACCTGCTGACGTGTCGCCACCTGGGGGAGTGGTGCAAGGATGAAAACGGAAGGCACTTGGATTGGACAATCCCTAATACCAAGAGTGAGACCACCTGCTGACATGTCGCCACCTGGAGGAGTGGTGCAAGGATGAAAACGGAAGGCACTTGGATTGGGCGATGCCAGAGTGAGAAGAGAAGAGGAACGCGCAGAGAGACCAGACCAGCAACAGTTTGTTTCTGAGTGTTGCTTTTGCTGGTCAAGTGCCAGCCCTAGTGAAGCTAATAGACTTTTGAGTCGACTCAAAAGTCAACTTGCTGGTCAAGTGCCAGCCCAAGTGAAGCTCGTTGACTTTTGAGTCGACTCAAGAGTCAACTTGCTGGTCAAGTGCCAGCCAGCCCAAGTGAAGCTCACCACATGTCACCTGAAGGCTGAAACCCTCCACTCCAAAAGAAGAGGACCTTTGAAATTAAGCTTCGATCGACTCGGGTCCTGAGTCCTTCACATCTTTCCCCCCTCCTCTCTCTCCTACACCTCTCTCACTCCCCTCTCTCCCCATCTTCTCTTCCCCGCCTCTCTCCCCCCCCCTCTCTCCCCCTCTCTCCCCCCCCTCTCTCCCCCTCTCTCCCCCCCCTCTCTCCCCCACCTCTCTCCCCCCCCTCTCTTCCCCTCTTCTCTCCGCCTCCTTTCTCCCCCCTTCCCCCTCCCCCACCTCTAGCATCGCTGGTCGTCCTCCGCTTCCTCCCCATCCCCGTCGCCATACGCGATTCGAGACGACTCGACTCAACGCACGACCTACCTCTCGCGTCGCTCGTCAATCTCCACGTCGTCCGCTTCCTCCTCCATTTCCGCCGCAATCGCCGCCTGCAGTCGTCCGTACAGCGACGACGCCCCCGCCGCGATCTGCCGGTGAAACGATGACGTGTCAGCCCACGTCACGCTGACGACAGCCGACCCGCGTCCCGCCATGTCATCATGCCGGTCGTCCGACCTTCCTTGAAACTCGCCGTCGTTCGCGCCGTCAGACGCGGCGACAGATGCGGCGAAGGATGCGGCCGGAGCGCAGATCAGAAGCTCGTTGCCCAATCCCCACTCGATCTCGACGGGGAATGCGGCGGGAAAGGCGGATGACGGCTCGGTTTGGAGGGGTCCAGAGCGGTACTGCCCTAACGGCCCCACCATTGGCGCGTATTCGCCTTCCACGCCAACCAAATCAGAGATCTCCGGCTTATTTTAAAAGTGACGCGGGTTATAAGGAGGACACGGCTCGGAGTGCGCAGAGATGCGGTTTCGTCACGTAGGGAACGCGGTGCAGGTGATCGGGGGAGCTTTCACAAGAGAATTGGTTTTCGATATAACAGGAGGGTGCGCAGCTGTAGTCTTCGAAGTTCACTCTTACCTCCTATCTAAAAGCTCTGTACTATTATCTCGTTATCTAAAACGATGAGCAGTTATGTTACGTATGGTAATCAGATTACGGGCATTGATACGTTCCAAATGCACTGAATTGACGTTTGCTTTACAAAGTTGACTGCCATATAAATGTTAAATCACACATAAAACATCTGAACATCCCATCCCACCCAACCACATACTTCTGCTACTTACATACAAGGACAATTGAGAAAGCTTGCTTTCTGATTATTGCAAGGCAACGTGCTTCATTTTAATTGGGCAAGGCAACGTGCTTCATTTTAATTGGGTAATTACAACATTCTCGTCCAACTCACACATTACATAAACATCAACTAGGGGTGGGCGGGGGGGAAGCGGAACTGAAAAGTTCCGAAATGAAGACGTGGGTGGAGGCCAAATGGCCTCCAACCCTCGTTATGTACTCGGGAAGAGGCATTCGCAGTTGCCTTGCTTCACTACGATCAGCTGCGCTTTCACAATCTTTATTTTTAGAAAGTGTTTCACACTTTCAAAAAATTTCATATTGAGAAAGCTTGCTTTCTGATTATTGCAAGGCAACGTGCTTCATTTTAATTGGGTCTTCTGAGACATGTGCGTGCGTAGGCTGAGTGTAGATCGCGAAGCCGGTTGATGGCGATGTCCAGTGATATCAGTTGTCGGTGCAGGTCGTTGCATTCCCTGTCGACGTGGTTATGCGAGTTGCTCCCTCCTTTGGTAGATGTATGTGCCCATCGTTGTTGGTGGAGAGGGGGCCCGTGGTTTAGAATGTTTGTTATGCTGGCATGCGCGGTGGAGAAGATGGTTGTTGAAGACGGCCCATGTATCAATGATGAAGCTCCCAGTGTTGCGCGTAGACTGGAGCCGCGATTTTTGATGTTGTTTGGTCGATGACGCGGTGTAGGGTCTTGGACTAGTGACGTGTTATAAAAAATCAATGCTTTAGTTTGAAACTTTCATATTTGCGATTGGCACCGAGTACGAGATCTTTAGCTTGAGGAACTAAGGGGGGCCCAGAATGAGGTGTGTTCGTAGGGAAGTGGCTGATATTGAAAGATGATGCTTGCGGGACCGGTACGGTATGCATCATTTGTATCAAGTTGAGATCCGAAAGGGTGTGGGTTTGTAAGAAAAATGTCGCATAACAAAACCTCCAGCCATGCGTTACTGGCCCATCGGTTTCTCGTCTCTTGGCCCGTCTGGTGCTTGTCTCTTGGCCCATCGGTTGCTCGTCTCTTGACCTATCGGTTGCTCGTCTCGTGGCACATCAGTTGCTCGTCTCGTCGCCCATCGGCTACTCATCTCGTGGGCTATTAGTTGCTTGTCCATTAACCCATCAATTGCTACTCTCTTGGCTCATCGGTTGCTCGTCTCGTGGCCCATCGGTTGCTCGTCTCGTGGCCCATCGGTTGCTCGTCTCGTGGCCCATCGGTTGCTCGTCTCGTGGCCCATCGGTTGCTCGTCTCGTGGCCCATCGGTTGCTCGTCTCGTGGCCCATCGGTTGCTCGTCTCTTGGCCCATCGGTTGCGCGCCTCTTGGCGCATAGGTTGTTCGTATCGTGGCCCATCGGCTGTTCGTCTCGTGCCCATTGGTTGCTGGCCCGTTGGCCTATCGGTGGGCCATCGGCCGCTCGTCTCGTGGCCCATCGGTTGCTCGTCTCGTGGCCCATCGGTTGCTCGTATCGTGGCCCATCGGTTGCTTGTCTCATGGCCCATCGGTTGCTTTTTCTCGTGGCCCATCGGTTGCTCGTCTCCTAGCCCATCGGTTGCTCGTCTCATGGCCCATCGGTTGCTCCTCTCTATCTTGGACCGTATATGATGGTTGCACAAGAAAAGCGACAAGAGGTGCATTGGCTGCACTGCCACACCATGTTACTGTTGTCTCGTGGCTCCAGTCAACAATTATATTGTCGAAGCGTAACGATGACCTTGACATTCGGTACATGTTTGACTTTCCCCCCCTATTGTTCGGAATGTGTGACGAAACAAGTCATCGTACTAGTGAATAATGGTTGCATGACACTCTCTCCTTCCTCGTCGTGCAGTGTAGGTGCGTGATAAAGTAGGATCCCATAGATGTCCTTACTACCGGTACGGTAGTTGCACTCTACCAACCTCTCAAAGTTAGCGAACAACGGAATGATTGGAATAGAAACGAATGGGGTACAAATGAGCAACCCTAGAAGCTGTACCCCCTAGAGTGCAACTCACTATAGCCTATCATATCAATGTTCAACATTTGACACACCCCCATAGGCTAAGTGAGGGGCATCAAAGCAAGCAAGGTGAACAAACGGTCACAAGACCAGTCAAAGCAAGAACCAAGGCAAGCTCAGGGTGGATCTCAAGGACACCACACAAATTCCGAGCGCAAGCAAGCGGCCACAAGGCCAGTTCAAGAGTTCACTAGGATATAAATACAAAGCACAACAAGCAGAGCAAGCAACAGGACTACACCAACCGAGGGCCTACCTCAACAAGCCCCAACTGCACACAGAACCTGTGGTGGTCACCAAGCGCCAAGGCCTTGGTGAAGACGTCTGCAGTGTTGGCCTCTGAGGCCACAAAGTCCAGGCGTGCCTGACCGCGTCGCTGCAGCTCTCGCAGGAGGAAGTACCTCACGTCAATATGCTTCACTCTGCACCACAGACGACGACCGTGTAGACCTCCACGACACAGCACCAGCTCCCAGACTGAAGCAGTAACCCTGAGTCGAACGTTGAGTCTCCACGTCGTCAGCGTAGGAAGAGTCGCAGTGACCAGTCAACGCCACTGGCTGAGTCCCTCCAAGCACAAGCCCCAAACCTGATGTAGTCGCCAGGTACTTCGCCACCCTCACAGCAGCTGTCCAGTGGACAGGGCGGTGTCTCCCAGTCGCAACAAAGCGAGAAAGGATGTTGAGGGGAAAGGCGAGGTCCGGTCGAGTACAAGTCATCAGGTACATGAGGCAGCCCACCAGCTCTGCGTAGGGTCCACTAGACTCAAAGGGCTCGTCAGGAAAGGGGCCCGTGAGTCTGTGGTCAACAGCAAGAGGAGTGGGCTGAGTGGTGGAGAACTGGAAGTCGAACCGCCGAAGGACCTGCTGCACCATGTGTGACTGCGTCAGTGTGATGGTGCGAGCGGCTCTGTCCCGGGTGATCTGCAGGCCAAGGTAGCGCTGCAGCTCACCCAGGTCAGTGCACTTGTGTCTCTTCTGCAGTTCGGACTTCACCTGAGCCAGGACTGCCCTGTCTGCTGTAGCAAACACCAAGTCGTCGACGTAGACAAGGATAAAGAAAGGAGTAGAACCCGCTCGAACAAACAGCGACGGGTCGGCGGAGGACGGGCTGAACCCAAGGTCACGAAGCGTGGAGCGAAGAGTGTCGTGCCACTCACGGGGCGACTGGCGGAGACCGTAGACTGGTCGCCTCAGGCTCCACTGGGTCCCAGGTGGGAAGGTGTCAGTGAAGCCAGGAGGACGGCGCAGCCAGATCTCCTCGTGCAGTCGGCCCTGGAGGAACGCAGTGGAGAAGTCGAGGGAGTGCAGCTCGTAGTCTCGCTGCGCTGCTATGTGGAGTAACACCCGAAGAGTAGTCATCTTCGGGGTCGGGGCGAAGGTCTGGAAGAAGTCAACTCCCTCACGCTGACTGAAACCCCTAGCCACGTAGCGCGCCTTGAACACCGGCGGTGCTCCAGGCGGCCGCTTCACCTTGAAGAGCCACATGCCATCGACTACGTTCGCCCTGGGAGGGGGAACTGCGTCGACGTAGGTGCCTGTGGATCTCCAAGACGCCAACTCTGAGTCCATAGCCGCTTTCCACTGAGAGGCCCACGCCCCTGACACTGCCTCGCGGTAAGTGCGAGGAGTCGGTATGTCAAGGGCGTCGGGGTCTCCCTCAGGGGAGAGCAGCATGGCACACACAGAGGGAGAAGCGGCTGCCCAGTACTCCAGCTCGGACTCTCTGTCCTCTAGGACGTCACAGCCAAGGGCAAACCCACCCCCGACTAACAGAGGACGGTAGGGAGGAGCTGGCACCACACGGGTGGCGTAGTCAAGGCGGCTGGCGGCAGCAAACTCAGCGACAGCGGCAGTGAGAGCCGAGACAGACGACGGAGGGAAACGAGGGTCGGTGACAAGAGTGGTGAGGACACGAGCGCCAACAGGACGAACAGCGCGGTAGTAGTCAGAGATAGGAGTGGGGAGGGCAGGTAGAGAGGACGGAGGAGGAGACGGGAGAACGGACACAGGAGAAGGAGAACGACGACGAGACGAACAAAGGAGGGCAGTGTGGAGGTCAGTAACAGGGGACGAGTGACGAGCACGCGGAGGACAACGAGTGATCAAGTCGCGACGGACAGAGGGAGGAGGAGACTGAGGAGGAGGAGAAGACCAGACCGCCGGACGGTCGTCAGGAGGAGGCAACGGAGGAACAAACACAGGAAGAGACTGGGAGCGGACAGGAGGAGAGGAGGAAAGGCCAAGGGCCCGCAGGCCACTCACAGGTGGGAACAACCGCCGCTCTAGAGGAAGCTGCGGTGGCGGCTGCGGCGGCTGCGGCTGCGGCTGCTGCTGCTGCTGCTGCTGCGGCTGCGGCTGCGGCTGCGGCTGCGGGTGCGGCTGCTGCTGCTGCTGCTGCTGCTGCTGCTGCTGCTGCTGCTGCTGCTGTTGCTGCTGCTGCTGCTGCCGCTGCTGCTCCAGAAGGTCCAGCACCCGCAGCTCCTGCCGCTCCCTCTCCAACCGCTCCTGCTCCTCACGCTCACGCCGACGGGCAGCCTGGAGACGCGTGTCGTGGCGGTGGGGGGGCGGGGTGGACTCCGCAGAACCAGGGTCTCCAGCGTCAGTCTCCTCAGACTCAGCACCCCCAGAACCAGTACCGCCAGTGCCAGGACCTCCAACTCCAGCACCCCCAGAACTAGCACCGCTAGTGCCAGCACCCCCAACTCCAGCACCCCCAGAACCAGCGTCACCTGCGCCAGCACCTCCAGCTCCAGTACCCCGCGACCGAGCACCCCCAGACCGAGCACCGCCAGCGGCTGCACCTCCAGCTCCAACACCAACCGAGTCCACAGTAACCTGTCGCGGAAGTGCCGAAGGCTGCTGAGGGGACTGTGAGGAGGACTGCGGGGAGGGAGACGCTACCTGACGCGCGACCGAGGGGAGAGGGGTAGCGTGGGACACACCAGACGGGGCAGGACCAGGGGGGGGCGGGGGTACCGGAGGAGCGGGAGCAGGAGGAGGAGAGGGTGCGAGGAAGAGAGGGGGAGGGGGTACTGGGAGACCTCGACAGGGGTACCGGGTGTAGTAGGACACGGACTCGTCAAACCGGACGTCACGGGAATCTAGGAACTGGTGGAGGGGAGGGTGGTAAAAGGACCAGTCAGCAGAGTCCACTGGGAAACCAAGGAAGACACAGGGGACGGCGCGTGCCGAGAGCTTGTCCGCGGAGGTGTCGCGAACAAGTGCAAGGCAGCCCCAGACTCGAAAGGCCGACCCAACACCAGGGGATCCAGTCCAGAGACTGGTCGGTGAAGCCTCGGGCCGCGAGACACGCGGCTGGAGGTTCAGCTGGTGTGCGGCGTAGCGAACCGCGTGAGGCCACAGAAAATGGGGCGCACGGGCATGAATCATGGACGTGCGGGCGATGTCCATGACCAAGCCTATGCGGCGCTCAGCAACCCCATTCTGCTGTGGGGACTCTGGCAGCGTCCAGGACTGGGTGATGCCCTGTTCGCCGCAGAATTCGCCGAGAATGCCGGAGCGAAACTCGCCCCCACGGTCGGAGTGAAGACAACTGACTCGACGACCACGAGTGCCCTCAGTGGCTAGAAGCCACCTGATCAGCGTAGCAGTCACCTCGGACTTCTTCGCAAGAGGAAACACTGTGGTGTACCTGGAGAAGTCGTCGACGACCACCAGAAAGTAGCGCTCCCTCCCAGACCCCTGCGTCGGGGCAGGGCCCCAGACGTCCAAGTGGAGAGTCTCGAAGGGAGCGGTGGCCGGACGAAGGGAGGAGGAGTGGGGAGTGGCACGTAAGCGACCGGCGACGCACGGAGAGCAAGGAGGGGCAAGCGAGGGAGGGAGCGACGGGAAGGTGCGTGGGAGACCTGTGACTAGTCCCTGACTGAGCATGCCACGAAGGCGAGGGATCGACGGGTGGCCAAGACGGTGGTGCCACAGGACGGTGCGGTGGGCGAGAGAGCGACAGGAGCAAGACGCAGCGACTGGACTGGACACAGCGACCGGACTGGACACAGCCACCTGACCGGACTCTGCTACCCGGGGGGACGAAGCAACCTGACCAGACGCAGCTACCTGCGGGGGCGGAGTGTGCAGGACGAAGAGACCTGAGTGGGGCTCTCTGGTGAACGTGGCAAGAACTGCCCCGGTGGAAGAGTCCGTACAGATCGCAGTCCTCCCGTGCGCAGGAAAAGTGACTGTGATCCCCCGGTCCTGAAGGTATCCAACACCCACCAAGTTCCGAGAGAACGAGGGGATGTAGAGACCAGTGAGGAAACCAGAGGGGACAGCCGGGCACGGGAGGGTGGTCGAGCTACGAGCAACTGCTGGTCCTGAAGTAGGATCAGCCAGGGCAACTGGGACTGGAGCCGAAAGAGGTGTGACAGTGGTGTGGTCGCGGAAGAAACACTGAGACGCGCCGGAGTCCAGCGTGAAGGAGAGCGACGCAACAGCAGTCGTCACGGCTGGGCTAGTGACTACACAAGCACCTACACTAAAAGCACAAGTACCGACACTAGCAACAGGCAAAGGTCCTAAGCTAGGTACACGTAAGCCAAGAGATCCGTACGTGACAGAATAAACAGCATCCATAGATATATCAAACACAGGGAAACCACTACGAAACAGACCGGGCCAGATCGGGGGAGCCGACTCAGGCCCAAAACGCTCACGGTAAAGGTCGTCGAGGCGGCTGTAGCAGCGCTGTGCAGAGTGGTCAGGACGCCAGCAGGTAGTGCCAGCACCAGGGCCGGTCAGGATCCGGTACTGGCAGGGGCCGACGTCGCGGCCACCGCGACGAGCCCCCCAGCTGGCTGGGCCGCTGCTGCAGCCAACGCGACCTGAACCACCAGGCCCCCATGGCTGCTGAGGGCGCCACAGCTGCTGAGGGCGCCCCTGCCGCTGCGGAAGCCACTGCTGAAAAGGCCGCTGCTGCTGTCCCTGCTGCTGGAGAACCCTAGTGGACTCCATGATAAAAGCTAGCGGGGTGCAGGAGCGGCAGGCTAGGAGCGACAGGAGCGACAGGCTGCTGTGAAAAACGAGAACAACTAGGAGCGCAAGGTGAAACCAGCGATTTCGCCACTGGTGCAAATGGCCATTTCGCCACAGACGCGTGCCACTGGCGCAAGTGGCGATTTCGCCACACCCTCGCGCCAGTGGCGCAAGTGGCGATTTCGCCACACACGCGCGCCAGTGGCGCAAGTGGGGATTTCGCCAGACACGAGCGCCACTGGCGCAAGTGACGATTTCGTCACTAGCGCACGCCACTGGCGCACGTGGCGATTTCGTCACTGATGCGCCAGTGGCCGTTGCTTCATGCGCACTTCTTTCTCAGTTGCGCGTACGCCAAGTGCATCGCGGGCGCAATGCTGTACCCTCCGCAGTTGACGCGCGTAGTAGCTAATGTATAAGTTACGCTGCTGCAGCACTTGTCCTAGCATTGCCTCCGTGCTTCTAGAGTGGGAATTAAGCATGAGTGAGAATTAAGAGAAGTTGTGAACGGAAGTGGTTGGACGAGAATGAAGCGGAACTGAAAAGTTCCGAAATGAAGACGTGGGTGGAGGCCAAATGGCCTCCAACCCTCGTTATGTACTCGGGAAGAGGCATTCGCAGTTGCCTTGCTTTACTACGATCAGCTGCGCTTTCACAATCTTTATTTTTAGAAAGTGTTTCACACTTTCAAAAAATTTCATTTTTCCTCACAATAACCTCCCTGCACCTATGGGCTCAAATTTCCTCAACCCCCCCCCCCCCCCCCCCCCTCCACTCCCGTCTTCTCCATCCCTCTTGTCCCGACCCCTTCTGCTCTTCCTATTTAACCTCAAAGGGTCACATACACCACCAACCAGCATACCAGTGTGGTGCCTTACAGTTCCTCCTCTCCCTCTCCCCTCCTCCCTCCCCTCCACCCCACACATACCGCCGCCTCTGCGGATTTTACACGGAGAACTCCCCAAACTGCCGTCTCCCCAGGTGCTGCACTGCACGTCCCACCCGGGCAGGTTATACTGCTCCTCTCCCACCTCCAATGAGCTGCAGGCTATACACCAGGTCTCAACGTGCGTTATAGCCCCTCCCCTCCTCGCTCTCCTCCTCCCTCCCCTCCTCCCCCTCCCTCTCCTCCCACCCCTCCCTCCCCTCATCTCTCCCCTCTCTCCCTTCCTCCCTCATTCCCTTCTTCCCTCACATATCTCCTCCTCTGAGGGTTACACACCAAGAACTCCCCAAACTGCCTTCGTCCCAGGTGCTGCACGTCCTACCTGGGTGGGTCGTGCTACTCCTCTACCACCTCCTCCTCATCTGCAGGTTCCAGAGTGGATTAAAGCCCCTCCTCTTCCCCTTCACCTCCCTCTAATCTTCCCTCAACTCCTCCCTCTCCTCCCTCCTTCACCTTCCCTCCCTCATCCCCTCCATCCTTCACATACCTCCTCCTCTGAGGGTTATAAACGGAAAACTCCCCAAACTGCCGTCTCCCCAGGTGCTGCACGTCCCATCCGGGCGGCAGGAAGCGCGGCTGTAGTGCCGCCACAAACACCTCGCGCCACTGCTGCGTGAACTCCCTTATCCCCGCCTCCCCGCCCCCCTCCAGCAGCAGCGCTACAACCTTTGTTCCGTGCTCCCAGTGGCCACGCAAAGGGACTGGCTCGATCGTGGGGGTTGCAGAGAGGTTGAGTGCGGTGAGGTCAGGTGCTGCTAGTCCCAGGGTAACCTCCTCTTCAGTCTTGCCAGATTGGTCGCTCACTCCCTCACTCACTTTCTCACTCACTCCCTCACTCGCACCAGCATCCACCCCCTTGACCTCATTTAAGTCACCTGCTCCCTCGGCTTGCACATCCTCCTTTACCCCATCCCCCTCTCTCTCTCCTCCCTCTCCCCCTCCCCCTCCACCCAGGCTAGCTAAGGCTTTCTGTAGAACCTCCCTTTGGCCCACAACGGGCAGCCCTTTTCTTTTTCCTGCCCGCACTCTGGTCCCCTTCCCCGCCTGCACCACCATCTCCAGCTCCTCTATTTTCACCGGGCTGCCCGCTGCCCGCTTCAAAACTTTCCACACGGGCAGCAGCAGCTCGCAGAGTCTGCTTTCGGGCAGCGACGCCCCGTGTCGTAAAACCGCCACTGCTGACTGGGCAGCATCGTTTAAAAGAAACGCTGCTTTCACTCTCGCATCCCTTCCCCCTTTCCGCTCACCACTCCCACTCCCCGCACCCTCCATCTGCCCACCCCCCTCCTCCTCCCCACCTTCTCCCTTCTCCCTCCCAGCCCCATCCCCACTTACACTCCCCCCCTCCCCCGCCCCTTCTCCCCCCTCCTCCCCCCCGCCCTCATCCGACCCTCCGCCGAACCTCCGATCCAGCGGCGACAGCAGCAACGGAACCCCGAACCTCCGCGCCACCTCCCTCTTGAAGATCTCTGCCGCACGATGTGCCACGTCATGGCAATCAACGCACAGCAGCACAATATCATGGCTCCGGTGCGACTTCAGATGCTCGGGGAACGCGTGGCGGTAGCAGGAGGGCACGAGGCGGTAGCGCAGGTAGTGGGTGGATTCCCCACAGGAGACGCAGCGGTTGGACTTGGATTGGATGTAAAATTCGTTTTCGTCGTCTTCTGGGAGGCCCTTGGGTTGGAAGAGTAAGCGGACGGAGAGGGGTGAGGCGAGGTTCGGGGGGAGTGGGGTGGGTGGAAGGTCTGTTGCTGTCGGGGCAGTGCTATCAGCAGTGGCAGCAGCAGTAGTACCTTCAGCAGTAGCACCTTCAGCAGCAGCACCATCAGCAGCACCGTCAGCAGCAGCAGTACCAGCTTCAGCAGAGGCATTCTCAGCCTCTGTAGCAGCAGCAACTGCATCATCTATAGCAGCAGCAACTGCAGCCTCTGTAGCAGCAGCAACTGCAGCCTCTGTAGCAGCAGCAACTGCAGCCTCTGTAGCAGCAGCAACTGCAGCCTCTGTAGCAGCAGCAACTGCAGCCTCTGTAGCAGCAGCAACTGCAGCCTCTGTAGCAGCAGCAACTGCAGCCTCTGTAGCAGCAGCCTCTGTAGCAGCAGCCTCTGTAGCAGCAGCTGCATCACTACCATCATCAGCAGCAGCAGCAGCAGATCCCACTTCCGCTTCTCCCTTCGCCCCCAACCCTGTCTCCTCAGCCCCCTGCAGCGACGGCAGCATGTCAACAGTCACATACTCAGCCAAACCCCGCCCCACATACCACTCCAGCTTCCGCTTATCACAGAAGCACAGCAACCGCCCATCCCCGCTGTAGATCCGGCAGTTCTCATATACTGGGCCTTGGCAAGAGAATTTCTTTATGAAATTTGCCCGAGCCTGGTTCGGGTCGCGTGCCCGCTGCCACCGCTTGGGCAGCCGAAAGTTTTGGTTCAGGCGGTGGTGGTGGTGGTGGGGGTGGGGGTGGGGGTGGTTGGGGTGCTGATGGGATGAATCAGGCAAGATTCCCCCTTCCTCTGCAGAAGAACCACTGGCAGCAGCACCAGCAGCAGAAGCAGCTGCAGCGGCAGCGGTAGCAGCGGAGAGATTGCCTGAGACGGCGGCAGCAGCAGTGAGAGCGACTGCTTCTTCTAGCCACGCCTCCTGCACTGCTGCTGGCGCCCTCTGCTGAATGACCACCGGGGCCAGGAGAAACGAGATCTCAGCAAATCTGGCTTGCACTGCTGCCGCTGCCACCCTGTCTTCCTCCCTGCCATCACTTGTACCAGTGTTACTTAAAATCACTTCGCCACCTCTCACATCGAGACACGTGGCGGTGATCAGCGCGACCAGCTCAGGAGATCGACGGACGAGAGGAGGCGAGGGGGAAGGGGAGGCGGGCTGAGATGGAATAGCTTGTTGTTCCGCTACTGCTGACGAGGTAACTCCTTCTGTTGACTCTAATGTTCCACTCTCCCCTCCATTGCCCTCTCCTTGAATGGGCCGAGGAACGCCGGCCTCTTCTCGCAAAGAGGGCGGCGTGAGAGCAGCAGCGGCTGCCATAGCCTTTCCCACGCACCCAATCAACTCTTGACACGTGGCAGGCCGTAGGAGCGCCACGGCGACCACTGCCACATCAGCAAGGAGGAACCGCAGGCTTTCGTCTTCTTCCCGTGCTACAGTGTCACGCCATCTGGTAACCGCATCAAGCACGGCCCTCACTTCCCGTAACACCTGGGACCGATCCGACGTCTTCTGACCCGCTGACGTGGCAGCAGCGTCAGGTGCCGCAGAAGCAGCAGCACCTGAACCAGCAGAATCACCTGAAGGCCCACCTGAAAGCGCGGCACCTCCCACGTACCCACAGACGCCTAACAGCTGGCGGAAAAGTGCTGCCGCAGCTGCTGCTGCCGCCTCAGCACTCCCTCCAATCACCTCCCCCCTCTCTCTCCTCTCTCTCACGGCCTCTCCAACTGCACCCCTGTCAGCAGCACCGGCGCTCCTCTCCCCTGGCTTCTCATACAGCTGCAGGCACAGCGCGTTGGACCTCCTCACTGCCTCCTCATACTTGGATCCACTGCTGTGCCCCGCCCTAGACCCTCTCCTGCCTCCACCCCCTGCTCCTGCTGCTACTCCTGCTGCTGCTGCTGCTGCTCCTCCTCCTCCTCCTGCTGCTTCTCCCTTTCCGTTTGCAGATGCTCCGTCTCCCCCCTCTCCCCCTGCGTCTGCTTGTACCAGTTCCCACCGCAGCCGGCCGGCGATGTACGGCAGGTAGTGCGAGTCCGTGCGGGCGTACTGTAGCATCGCGGGCGGCAGCGGGCGGCGGCGCCAGTCGGCCAGCTGCAGGCGCTTGTCGGTGCTGACGTGGCAGTAGTGCTCCAGGAGGAACGCGAGGGAGCGGTACGGCTTGTTGAGAACCGAGCAGGCCTGCAGGCAGAAAAAAAAAAAAAACAAATAGACAGACAAGTGAACCATTTGAATGTGGCACTTGTCGGTGCTGACGTGGCAGTAGTGTTCCAAGAGGAACGCCAGCGAGCGGTACGGCTTGTTGAGGACCGAGCACGCCTGCATGAAGTAAGTAATCAATAAAAATAAAAAAAGGAGGGAAAGGAGGGATAAATGAAGTCGAACGGAAAAAGACACAAGCAGACTCTGGTGTGGAGTGAAGAGGCTGACTGTACAGATTTGTCGACACAGGTTCATGCGTTTGCCTCTTACCTCCTCCCTACGCCACTCATCCGTGCCGTGTCAAAGACGTTCACATTCACAGTGTAAACGTGGAAGTCTCTTTGCAGCCAAAGCACGTCGGAGTCAGCCCCGTGAAACAGCTTCGTGACGGCCGGGCTGGCAAAGACCGTGAGATGAGATTCACGCCACTCTGTATACGAGCACATGAGGGCACATGTGTGCTCACCCGTGCCGTGTCGAACAGGTTGACAGTGTAGATGTGAAAGTCCCTCTGTAGCCAGAGCACGTCGGAGTCAGCTCCGTGGAACAGAAGGGACTGTGAGATGAGATTCACGCCACTCTGTATACGAGCACATGAGGGCACACACATGCTTACCCGTGCCGTGCCGAACAAATTGACGGTGTAAATGTGGAAGTCTCTTTGTAGCCAGAGCACGTCGGAGTCGGCCCCGTGGAACAACTTCGTGACGGCTGAATTGGCAAAGACTGTGAGACGAGATACAATACACCCCTCTAAATACAGGCTCACGAGGGCACACACATGCTCACCCATGTTGCACCTACCCGTGCCGTATCAAAGAGGTTGACGGTGTAAATGTGGAAGTCTCGTTGCAGCCAGAGCACATCGGAGTCCGCCCCGTGGAACAGCTTCGTGATGGCCGGGTTGGCAAAGACGGGGCGAAGAGCATCCCCTATGTGGTCGTGCAGGGCAATGGCGTCGATGATAAAGTCCCTGCCATCGCGCGTTGATATCTGAATGGGAAGAAACGGGTAGGGAAGGGGGTTTGGGGATGGTGAGGTTGGCAAAGACAGGGCGGAGCGCGTCCCCTATGTGGTCGTGCAGGGCAATGGCATCGATGATAAAGTCACCCCCAGCCCGTGTAGAGATCTGAGTGGGTAGAAAGGAGGAAGAAGGGGGATTCATGATGTCAGGGCTGGCAACGGGGCGGAGAGCATCTCCTATGCGGTCATGCAGCGCAATGGCATCGATTATAAAGTCCCTGCCATCTCGCGTGGAGATCTGGCAGGGAGAAAGGGCATGGGGAAGGAGGTTTCACGATGGTCAGAACAGGCCGGAGGGCGTCCCCTATGTGGCAGGGTTGGCAGAGACGGAGCAGAGGGCGTCCCCTATGTGGTCGTGCAGCGCAATGGCGTCGATCACAAAGTCCTCTCCTGCTCGGGTGGAGATCTGGAGGGGGAAAAGGGGTTCCACAATGATCAGATAGAAAAAACATGGCGGAGGGCGTCCCCTATGTGGCAGGGTTGGCAGAGACGGAGCAGAGGGCGTCCCCTATGTGGTCGTGCAGCGCAATGGCGTCGATCACAAAGTCCTCTCCTGCTCGGGTGGAGATCTGGAGTGGGAAAAGGGGAAAGGGGGGTGGGGCAGGGGGGCACGGAAATCCCTGATGGCAGGGTTGGCAGGCAGAGACGGAGCAGAGGGAGTCTGCTATGTAGTGTTGGGGGCAATGGCGTCGATGATAAAGTCCTGGTGCCTGATGCTCGGTGGGTGTACTATACTGGATGGAAGGACTTTTCACCTAGCACAGGCCAACGCACCGGGCCAACGCAACGGGCCAACGCAACGGAGCGCACCTGAATGAGAGCGGTGAAGCCTAGAAAGGAGCGGTGGCTGTGCTGCTCTGTGTCCACTGCAAATTCGTCCTGGGTTTCTAGAAGAGCTGCTAGGGACGCTAGCTGCTGCTTGGTGGATACCCAGTGGAAGGCGGAGGATGGGGAGGAGGAGGATGGGGAGGAGGAGGAGGAAGCTTTTGCTTGAGAAGGGAGCGCTGATGAGATTACAACACCAGGGTCATTCACAGGTGGTGGTGGTGTGGTGCCAGGTGGCAACATGTGGTTGGGTGGAGGAGGATTCTGGATAAGGTGGCGAATGTCGTCGCCGTATGGGTGTACGTCTCCTGATTATCGAGAAATGGGTGTAGAGGAGGGAAGGAAGAGTAAGAAGCAATTTGGAAGAGGCTGATGTCCTTTACATGGAAGCCACAGAACACTGGAGAGTCATAAGATTATATAAATTATAGTGTTAGAACCTTACATTCAGTGTATTATTGAAAAAAAAGAGCTGGAAACAAAACATGGGGTTGAGAAAGAGCAATGGGTTGGAAAACGCACCTGAATCTTCACTCTCGTCCTCATCCTCGTTTTCAGCACCTGAAAACGAAATGCCTCCTGAATCTTCACAAGGGGCTTCATTTCGTTTCAGGTGCTGAAACGGAGCTCTTGAGTTATCCGCAAGAACCCTACGAAACGCGCTCTGCGGCTTCTCGTCTCCTTCTCCCTCCGCTCCTTCATCCTCCTCCCACTCATCCTCGTCATCGCTTCCCTGACTGTCTTCTTCTCCTGCCACGTGGACCTCGTCTTCTCCTCCATCTGCACGGCGATCCTTCCGTTTCTTCCTCCTGTTCTTACTCAGCTTCCCGGTTCCGCATCTCACGCCGCATTCGCCGCTTTCTACCCGCTTCCCGAACCACCAGCTGCCGCTCCAGCTCGCGCCGTTTCCTGCGCCGCCAGATGCGCCGTCGGAAGCGCCGTAGGATGCGCTGGACCAACGGATAGCCACCCAGTGTAGTGCGACGACGGAAGTTGCGACAACGACTGCGACGAAAAGCGGCGACACCTTCCCGCCGGCGACATCCTTGAATGTCGGCAGGCTCATTGGCGACCGCAAGTTAGTAAATCAGTCTCAACCAGTTAAAATACAAACAATAGGAACTTACGACTTCTGAAGGAAGAGTAAGGTCAAATGTGCTGTTTCCACAAACCGCGCTTTTCACCTTGTCTCACACGAGCATTGAAGGGTGTTCTTTGTGCTCAGTAACGCTGCACGAGAATTTGGGCCTTCAGATTAGTCAAATCGGTTGAGTACGACGCTGTGCAGCGCAGAGCGGCAGTTACTTCACAGCTTTGAACTGCAAATCACCTTCCCAATCAATGATGTTTGAATGTTATGAGTGCAATTGAGCGAGCGAGCGAGAATTGCACTATCGAAGCAAAACAATCCAGTTGAGCGAAAAGCATGAGCGAAATTATATAGCGAGGCTAGCGTGGTAACGGTAATGCGGGAAATTGGGGTGCGCTACGGGCCTAGCGCCGAGGTTGGGAATTGTCGAGGCGGAGGTCCGGAGCGCGGGTTACCAACCGAACCGTGAGGTTGGGTCGCATCGTGAACAGTGGCGGGAGTCGTGGTCGAGGCGAATGTCGCGAGCGGGTAACGTTCACAGATGGGTGCCGATGGCGGGAACAGGCATGTACGCGGTAAACAGGGACGCGACGTAAGGAAAAGGAATTTTCCTTACACTACCCCCCTCCCCAAGGAGGCCCCTCTTACGAGAGCGCGTGTATATCTCGAAAGTTCCGGCTACGCAGATACTCAGTCAGGACAGGGTGATTCTCAATTCTATCCAGGGGGACCCAGTTGTCTTCGGTGGGCGTGCGGTCTTTCCAGCGGATCAGAAATTCGATTCTGCGGGCTCCCCGTGGGTCACGTACTCGGTGGCTCAGTACTTTGTCGGGCGTGATGATTGGCTCTGTCGGCGGTCGTGTCATGCTGGCAGGGCGGTGCGAGGCAGTTGGCTGGTGGATGGCACGTATGTGCGAAGCAGGCTGACGTGGAATGACGGGCTGACGTACCAGTCAGCAGGGAGGAGGAGATGGGCGGTGACGGGTGTGATCATGTGGCTGATGCGAAATGGCCCACAATATCGGGGGCGGAGTTTTGGGGTGATGGGCAGGCGGAGGTTTTGAGTGTCGAGTAATACCAGGTCGTCGGGTTGGTAAGTGACGGGGCGGCGGTGTCGGTCGGCGTTGCGCTTAGCGATGACGTTTGATTTTTTTATTGCTTCTGCTGCTCGGGTCCGTGCTGCTTGCAATATTTCTGCGAACTGTTGCGCGCGTGGGACTGGGTTGTCGGGATTCGGGGTCATGGGTACTGTGGGGTCTTGTCCGTAGTTCAGGTAAAACGGTGACTGTTGGGTCGTGGCAGATGGCGAGTTGTTGTACGCGAACTCGATGAGTGGCAGTTGCTGTTCCCACGTGGTTGGGTCGTCGCACGTGGCTCGGATGAGTTGTTCCATGGTCTGATTTGTCCGTTCTGTTTGTCCGTCGGTTTCGGGGTGGTATGATAAACTGAACTGTAGTCGTGTGCCGAACTGCTGCCACAGGTTTCGCCAGAAGTTGCTGGTGAACTTCGTGTCGCGGTCGCTGATAATTGATGCTGGTATCCCGTGCAGTCGAACGACGGTGGAGATGAAGAGGCGAGCCGTTTCTTCGGCCGTGATTGATTTCTTGCAGGCTGCGAAGTGTGCCATTTTCGTCAGCCGATCGACGACGACCAGGATCGCGTCGTTCCCACTTGCTCCAGCAGGTAACCCCGTGACGAAGTCCATCGTCACCTGCTGCCAAGCACGCTCTGGGGGTGGTATCGGCTGCAACTGCCCTGCCGGTCGTTGTCGTGACGACTTCATGAGCTGGCAGATGGGACACGATGCCACGTGTCGTTGCACGTCGGTCAGCATCTCAGGCCAGTAGTAATACCGCTGCAGCTGCTGCCGTGTTTTCTCTACCACGAAATGTCCTGAGATAACCCCGTCGTGTGCCTCCTGTGGTAACAGTCCCCTTAGTAAAGTGTAGCCCGGTACCCAGATGCGGTCGGTGCCGGCTTTTACGTAATACACCCCTTGTGCTGCTGAGAACTGCTGCGAGTTGCCTCCGGTAAAAAAGGGGTCTGTCTGATACCCGTGGGTAAATAGGCCTGTCAGTAGCGGGCTGGTCTGTGCGAGTAGTATGGCGTGGATCTGGGCAGTGGGGCGGGTCAGTTCGATGCTCCCTTTTTATAGGTGACCGTGTAGTGGAAATTTGACTCGAGGAAATCGAGCCAGCGGATCTGTCGTGGGTTGAGGTGGGGCTGTGCGCGGAGGTACTGTAGGGATCTGTGGTCTGTCCGGACTGTCACGTCTGCGCCGGTCAAGTACCGTATGGCCCCGGATATAGGCGCCGTCCGTTTAAAGGCGCCGGCGCCTCTATCTGGAGCATGGCGCTTATGGTTGTTCCTCGATTATAGGCGCACCCCATTTTGCACCCTTGTTATAAGCGCCTACTTTTAAACATGCTTTTTTTTATTATATCCTAACAGTTTCATAGGAATTTCATTAGAAATCTGGCACCCACAAGTACATCCGCCTACTTAGAACTCGATGAACAGGCCTTTACAAAGGCCACCCTACCAAGGAACCAACTATAGTACCTACTCCTCGTCAGACTCGGGCTCCTGGCAGTTGTTGCCAAAGAAGCCATCGGCGATGATATCGTCGTCGACATCCACTTCCGCGGTCAACTGGGTCCGCCTGTGCGCCATGGCGAGGCCGTCCTCGCTGCCGTCAAGAGCGTTGCTAATGCCACAAGTGAGGAAGGCGCGCTTGATGAGGTCGGCGGGCACGACCTTCCATGCCCGTGAGACCCATCGGAGGACCACTGCTGGGGGGGGCTTCTTGAGATTTCCTGCACGGACAATAACACCACGGATAGCCGTTAGAGCTACAAAGGGGAGGGGAGGTGGTTTAACATGCATATGCATCTCGCTTACAGCGTACCTGCTGCTGTCAGCTGCTCGTGGCCCTCTTCTTGAAACCACTTTTGGTACTGCTGGCGGACTGAAGCTTTGAAGCTCTTGTTGATGGAGACGTCGAGGGGCTGAACCTCCGCCGTGCACCCCGACGGGATGACCGCCGGCACGCAGTTGAGCTCGCGGAACTTCTCCTTCACCCCCTCGGTAAGGTGACCACGGTAGCTGTCCAGCACCAGCATGGAGCTCTTCGCACACCTGCCGAACCGCGGCTTCAAGAAAGGCTTGACGCACTCCTCAAGCCATCGGATGACGCCCTCCGCGTCCATCCACCCGTTCTCGTGGCACGCCACGACCACATCTGCACAGGCGTAGATGAACAAGTTGTCAGTTGATTAAAGAGAAGAAACAGAACAGGGCACAACAACAATCACCATGACTTACCAGTGGGGAAATCGCCCTTCGGCAGGGTCTTCCGCTTGAAAAATACCCAAGGCTTGAGCTTGACCCCGTCCGCCGTGCACGCCAGCATCACGGTAACTCTCTCCTTCTGGTACCCCGCGCTTCTGATCGGCACCGACCGAACGCCGGTTTGGTCCACGGTGGTGGTGGCGGGCATCTCCAGCCAGAGCGGCGTTTGGTCCGCGTTGATGATCCACGCAGTGTCGATGCCGCGCTCACGGCGCTTTTCACGGACAAAGCGCCAGAAGTTCCTGCACTGCTCCGCGACATCTGTGATACGGCAGACGATGGGGCAACACAACAACTAAGGGTTAGTAATAAAAAAGCAACGAGGTACAACGAATCCCGAAAACACAAAATCTTACGGGCCGCGGTTTTCTGAGCAACCCGCGTCTTCATGCGCACGCTGAGATTCCATCGGCGCCGAAAGCGCTCAGACCACCGTTGGCTCCCCTTCCACTTCTCGTCGGGGAAGGGCTCCTTCATGAATTCACGAGACCATTCCTGCAGGCGGCCGACGGATACCGCGGTTCCCTTGCGACGCCACTCGAGGAGCCTCTCGTAGACCTTCAGCTCCATCGGCCGGTACCAAGACGCTCGCCCGCGACCATGCATGCGCTTACGGGCCGAGTGTACCTCTTTGAGGAAGTCCGCAGCGCGCTTCCAGTTAGAGAGACATTTGCGATGGATGCCGCTCTCACGAGCCAAAGAGCGTACCGACACCGCAACATCCAGCCGCACGACCCACTTCAACTTCTCGGCGGCTGTGTAGGCTTGACGCTTGTGCTCGTTCATCTTGTGCCTGGGATAGGGGGGGCGGGCATCACGGTTCTGTGAAGAAGGGTGTGGCCGCTTGCGATTAATAGGAGGGAAAGAGGGTATCGGGAGCTTCTCGGGAAGCCCATCGCGTGACCAATACTCGACGCCGTCGTCGTCGTCGCCGCCCGGAGCACCCTCGGGAAACACATCCTCCGCGGTGCCGGCCTGGGTGCCACCCTCCGTGCCACCCTCGCCGCCGTTGTCGCGCTCAGCGTGCCACTCTTCCTCGGCGGCAGCCGCCTCGTCGTCTGCGCCGACGGCAGATTCGTCCCAGGTGCAGTCGTCGGGTTGTCCCCATCGTGGTGCCGGGGCCGGAGCTTCTACGTACTCATCTGGGGGCTTGTCGCAGTCCGGTTCCGAGAGGTACTCGTCGAACGCCGATGGGAGAAGGAGCGTGAGCACGGGCTGATTGCCCATAACCACAGGAGGCACGGGATACACAGGAGAAGGAGGAACGGGAGGAGCAGGAGGCGCAGGAGGCGCAGGAGGCGCAGGAGGCGCAGGAGGAATTGGCGGCGCAGGAGGCGCAGGAGGTTGTGGTGGCTCCGGTGGGATACGGGAATACCATCCGTCAGCGTCAACTCTAAACGCGGGCCTAGCGGTAGGCTTTTTCTTGAACAAGAAATGGGTGCCGGTGAATTCCGCCATGGCTTTCGCAGCCTGGCGGGAGAGAACTGGAAACTGATGGAAAAAGTGGATGAAAGAGTGAAGAAATGAAGGATTGAAAGGGACCCCTTCGGCTTAGCGCCTCGGGGTCCTCGTCAATGAACGAGGGGACCCCCCTGCCTGAACCCGCAGAGGAGGGTTCATGGCAC